ACCTGGGAATCGAACCCAGGTCCCAATGGTTGTTGCATACATCATCTTCCACTAGGCCAGTTGAGCGCTTTTGTTATTATAGTGGCAATTAAATATATTATATAAAACAACAACATATGCTGGAAACATAAAAAAGCGCGCGTCACATTTGAATTGTCCAATCAAGTGTAGACAACGCAACCATCTTCTTCCTTTCGCCTGTAACATAAAACCAAATAGCGGGGGTTTTAAACCCCCCACAACCTGCAAATGTCAAAAATAGCGAATAGCTCCATGGTTAACATAAATAGGGCGTGATATGTCCATTGGATTCGTCTTGATCAGACGGTTTCAGTCATAGGCTTCTCGAGACCGAATTTTTCCTATATCAGAAAGACCCCTTTGAAGAGCTTGAAAACCCTAAAATTCAACAATGGCGTTTTCTGTTTCAAGGCAACATAACACAATTAACCTATATCATTAGCTTCATAAAGGTTAGAGCAATGCAAAGCAGTGGTTATAACATGTCAATAATGCATAAAAATGTGAGTTTCGATTTTGACAAAGTTAGGCAAACCGTGAATTTGTTAGAGGCGATTTCTTGAGGTTAAACACTTGGTTTTGATTGCAAATTGTTTCTGAGTATGCTGGCAACGTATTGGAATCAAGAAAGAGCTTTGAATTGGCATGGAAGGTTGAATTCAGTTTTCAAATTTTCTTGAACTTTTTGAATTTGGTTTATGGTTCTTGCAGCAGTTTTGCACGTTTCAGGCTTTAGGGTTTGGCTCAGCATATATAGTAGGATGGAATTAGGGTAGAACTTTGTCCAAGAATCCATGGAATAATGTTTTCAATATTTGGTTTCCAATCACATAATTTCCAATCTTTTTTATTGATAAAACTTGCCAAAATTGGATGATTTTGTCTCCTTGATTGATACACGAAATCTTCAGCATGTGTTGACCTTATTTGCATCACAAAAGATTTGAAAAACATATCTTGTGAATTTTCCTACAATTAAAATCAATTAAATGAATTAATATTAATAAAAATTCAATTAATTAATTAAAAATAAGTCAATTTAAGTTCAATGGGTCGTGCATAGGCCTTGGACAAAGATTCAAGAAGGAATTTGAGGCCCATTAGCAAAAATGAAGTGTTTTGGGGCAAAGTTGACTTTTGCAAATTCCCAAAAATTTCCCAACTTCTCCAATGCATATCTTGCTCAATTTTGATCATATGAACATGTTCTTCGACATTTTGGAAAGGTCTTGAAGTCCTATAACCAATGCCTTTTGTCACATGTCATTTTTATTTACCAATCTCAAGTTATGGTCTTTGACTTAAAGTGCCTTTTTGTTGACTTTTGAAATTGACCTATAATGTTGAAATTGATAACTTTTTGTGAGAGCATTTCTTGGACTTGGAATGTGAAGATGAGTTGTAGGAAATGTCATCCCCTTCAAAATTAGCATTGGATGGGATTTTTCTGATGAACCATGAAAAAGTTATGCCTTGGTCAAGTTACAGTTGACTTTTTAACTGTCCCAAAATAGAAACTTTTTGCATCTTGATGTGAAGCAATTAGGGCTTTTGACTGTGCAACTTGATGCTGTGAGTCTTAAAACTTGACATGTAGATGCTTGAAAATGTATATAGGCCTATGGGACTTGATTGAGCCCTTGAAAACCTCAACTTCCTTGCAAGAACCAAAACCCTAATTTTGACTGCCTTAGGAGGCAATTGGACTGTGTAACCCTTGAGCCATTTGAGGATGATTTCTTGACAAACCTTGAAGAATATGGGAGGACAAATTTTGGGGTACAACAACGGAATTTGAAAGGACATCGTGCGTGCTAAATGCCTTACTGAAGTGACGTATTGGGAAAAGTTAAAATGATGACTTTTTGAGATTGTCAGTTGGTTGGTAGGAGACGAAAAGCACACAAACTAATTTGTGGCTGAGAATAAAGGACAGGTGTCGAATGAAATATCAAAGAATGACTTTTTCTTTTAAGTGTCGAAATAAGACATTCTTGGGGGACAATTTGTTGGCTCCTAAATTCGACACCCATGTTTATTATCATATAGACCATTAATTATGAGTCAGAAGAGTTTCCTACATAAGAAGGCTTCGACCAACTGATCATGTCGAAGGCTCATCCAAGAATGACAAGATACTTAGAGAAATTCCTTTAAGATGGAATCTTGTTGTCTTCGACATCGAAGGAACTTCTAGATAAAGGTCCATGATGCCCAAGGTCGAACGGTTTGAGATTTGAATTGTTGGAGGGAAAACGGTTCCCAGCAGTTACCAAGTGCAGCGTGTCGAGAACATAAGCGTCGAAGGTTGTGAGCGTGCCATGTGGCGTCATCTCGAAGCGGTGTAACTGCCCAGCGGTTACTTAGGATTTGTTTTAGTATAAATACTAAGTGTTCACGTAGTTTTTGCGTGTGTTCATCATTTTATACAAGTCACTCATTTAGATTCAAGTACCCAGCGTGAGAGAAAGAATCATTGAGAATGTATGTGTGAAACACCATTTAAATTAATCAAATCTTTTATATTCAAGCAATTTTCCGTTGTTCATTTATTTACTTCCGTCGAAGCTTTTTACTTAACACTTTTATTTATTCTATCAAGCTTTTCTCCATGCAATTTACTTAAATTGTCTTTACTTTACTGGTATTAATCACCATTAAGATTAGTCAAACTCCAAAAATCAACCATGTCTTAGGATCAATCTGATCGATCATGCGAGTCACCAAATAAGTAACCTTTTGGAAGATCAGCGGTTGTTTACCATTTTTCAGGGTAAACAGAATGCGGGATATGCATTAACACAACCCACATTCAAATATTACCGTAACGAGATCCGTTTGTCAAATCCGGAAGCCGGTAGGTGGATCGACAATATTCCAGTAGAAAAATGGACTAGGTCATACGACAATGGCCAAAGATGGGGGCACATGACAACAAATCTAATTGAATCGATGAATGGGGTATTCAAAGGCATACGAAACCTCCCGGTCACTGCTTTGGTAAAATCTATGTATTTTAGGATGGCTTCGTTGTTTGCCAAAAGAGGTGAAATATGGAATGCGATGTTGCAATCTGGACAACTATGGAGTGAAAGCTGCATGAAGTACATTAAGGCAGAAAGTGCCAAAGCCAACACCCATATGGTTATACGGTTTGACCGACACAGCCACAACTTCATTGTGAAAGAGACAATCGACCACAACGAGGGCCTATCAAGATAAGAATATAGGGTTGTACTACCTTCTCGTTGGTGCGATTGTGGCAAGTTTCAAGCCTTTCGTATGCCTTGCTCTCATGTCATTGTCGCATGTGCTTATACCCATCAAGACGCGCTACAACTTCTGTCACACATTTACAAATCTGAAATGTTGCTCAACATTTACAACAACAACTTCTCTTTGGTAGCAAAACCAGATTATTGACCTGCATATGACGGCGAAATAGTATGACACAATGACCAAATGCGAAGGAACAAAAAGGGTCATCCCAAAAGTAAGTGCATCACAACTGAAATGGACTCCCTTGACAAGCTGGAAAGAAAGTGTGGTTTATGCCGTCAGGTCGGACACAATCACAAAAATTGTCCGAATCGGGCGTCTGCCTCGACCACATAAAAATTGTATTACATAAAATCTTTCCTTAATTATGTTGTAAACATTAGGGTTTTTCGTTAAGAGTATTTGCTACAATAAATATTGCACGTACAAGAAAAAAACACGATATTCCGTCTACGAAATTACAACTGTTAAAACAATATCATCTGACCCATGCATCATCAACATTACGTCGCTGTCTGTTTTGACTTCCTCCAACCAAACATTAGGTCTTCCTGTCGCATGTGAGGTTTCTGTTCGTCTTCGTTGGATCCTTCAAAATTTCCCCCCTCCACGATGTCTCCATCTAGCCATCGCAACAACTCCCACTTCAGACGCTCCATAGAGTGAATGTGCCAGAATTTCATTTCCATCGCAGGTTTTGTGGTGGAGAAGATAACGTAACCATCTCTGGTAAAAATCATGGGCGATGTCATGACGCAAATAACAAAGTAAAAAATAAGAAAACAGTACGAGAAAGTGTGAGAAATGACGGAGAAACGGACGAATTATTTATAAAAACAACATTTTGCCCTAGAAGCCAAGTGAGATGATATCTCCTCTCACTTTTAAAGTGCATGCGCCATCTCACTTGACTAAAAGAGAGAGGAGGCGCCAAGTGAGATGGCGCCTAGGACAAAAAGCTTGGTGGAGGCGCCAAGTGAGATGGCTCCTCCTTTAGAGAGTCATCTGAAACATGGTTATTTACATAATTTTTTCAGAAACGTAATTATTTGTGAAATTTTTTTTTAATATCTGATTATTCAAAAAAAAATCGAAATATTACGTATTTAAACTCGTACTGATGCATCATCTGATATCTTTATACAAGTACTATTTAAAAAAAAAAGTTAAAATAAACTACTTCATAAATTAATCTCACCACCAATCTTATCTTAATTCTTTATAAAATTATAAAGTACTTTAGAACTTGAATTGGGAGACAAATATACTAACCAAGATAAGTTAGGAAAATCAATAACACTCCATCCTAATCACAATTACCTTAACTATATAATATATTCAAACACGTAATCTCATATCTCAGGGCCCCACATAACACAATCCTAGTCACCAACATGTGTTTGTTTTTATCACATCACGTACAAAATACAATCTGACACGTATGACATATACGGACACGTGGCAAGCATTCGTATCTTCTCCATCTCTTTATAAACAAAGCACCATGTTTTGTTAATTCCGTGACATATCTTACAACCAAACATTTTTGTGTTGTTTCATTTTTTTTCTACCTCTTCTCTTCCTTAACAATATTTTGTAATCACATTAATTTTTTTCTCTAAAGTTTTTGTTTAATCATTTCTTGATACGTTAATCTCTGTTATTTTGTTCAATTGGTGTTAATTTTGTTGAGAAAAAACATGAAGGAAAGTGTTGGAAACCCTTTGCACTTGAAATCTGTGAATCATATTTCACTCATATGCAAATCAGTTGAAGAATCAATGGATTTTTACGTGAATGTTCTTGGTTTTTTCCCAATTAGAAGGCCCGGTTCTTTTAATTTTGATGGAGCATGGTAATTTTTTTTTTGTCTTAGAAATTAAATTTTTGATTGATTTTATTTATGAAATTTGATTTTTTATGTGGTGAAATTTAATTTACAGGCTATTTGGGTTTGGGATTGGTATTCATTTGTTGGAAGCTGAGAATCCAGAGAAATTACCAAAGAAAAAAGAAATTAATCCAAAGGATAATCACATATCTTTTCAGGTAATATTTAATATTTTCACCAAATTTTATATTGTTGTTGTTCAGTTTAAAAATTGAAAAAGAACACGTTAAAGAAAAAAATGAAAATAAAAGACGTGATTCAATTGATGAAGAACTTGAGAAAGAAATGCATTGAACCTAAAATGACGCAAAGGAAAAATCCAAATGAAAAATTAGATATAAATAAATAAAAGACAAAATTGGTAAATTATATTTATTTTGACTTGTAAAAATTAGTTCTACATTTTTAAAATTAAATTATTTTGTTTTATTTAAAAAATGAAATAAAAGAATTTAATTAGTAGTTATCGAGAAATATTAACTTGGTAAATTGTCAGTGTGAGAGCATGGGAGCAGTTGAGAAAAAGCTGAAAGAAATGGAAATCGATTATGTAAGAGCAATAGTAGAAGAAGGTGGAATTCAAGTGGACCAGTTATTTTTCCATGACCCAGATGGGTTCATGATTGAGATATGCAATTGTGACAGTCTTCCTGTGATTCCACTAGCTGGTGAGGTGGCAAGATCATGCTCTCATTTGAATCTTCAACTCATGCAGAATCAGAGTCAGCAACAACAACAGATACATAAGATTATCAAATGATGTCATCAAATTGTACTTGCTTTCTGGCTGTCAATTTATTATTATTATTATTATTATTATTATTATTATTATTATTATGTTACTAGTTATTAGTAAATAATTGTCAAGTTGTTTGTACTCGAAACAGAATGGCATTTTTGGGTTGCTATGATTGCTGTTTGGTTTGATGTGATGGTCTCTTCTTTAATTAAAAGTGTATTTGTCTAAGGTTTGGTATATGATGTTGTTTTATTATTATCTTATTATTTATTTTTGTATGACATCAATATTGTCAATGTGGCATATAACTTTGATCTCTATCTCTAACATCAAACCATTATGGTTCATCTTTTGTGCAATATTTCTTTGAAAGTTCTTCACTTCATCTTGTTTGTCATCTCAATCAAAAACATAAAATGTTTTGAGTGTTCTCTTTCTATTGCAAAATAGTATGATAAACAAGTTTGAAGTTGCAATGGAGATTTAATTGTTGGTGTGGGAATATTATCGTGTTTTGAAGAGCAACAACAATTATCAATGATTGTGGAGATACTATCGTGCTTTGAAGGACAACAACAGTTATCAAAATATTATGAATGTCCACACTAAAATGCTTCATCAATTTAGATATTTTAATATTATGAATGTCCACACTAAAATGCTTCATCAATTTAGATATTTCTAAAACAGAGTTTGTTGAGTTTGTTTTGTAATATTGGATTGTGGTTTATGAGTTATGAAGATAAGATTTAGATTCAAGAGATAAGTTGTTTGCTGCATAATATCAGAGTTAGAGAGTGGGAGAAAGAGAGGCAAGCAAGATTCCTTTTATAAAACAAGAGTAATTCAATTACCTACTTATATTTATAAGTAAGAAATTTTTAAGGCTCAAACACACAAGCAAGAGATGTTCAAAGATTTCAGATGCTCAAACATACATAAAACATGATTAACTTTATCATTATCCCATGGAAGTAAAAAAGAGAGTAAGAAAAAGAAATCAACCTTAAGAAATTTTTAAGGCTCAAACACACAAGCAAGAGATGTTCAAAGATTTCAGATGCTCAAACATACATAAAAGATGATTAACTTTATCATTATCCCATGGAAGTAAAAAAGAGAGTAAGAAAAAGAAATCAACCCTAAGTTCCTAACACCCGAGCTGGATGAAAAACGCGAGAAACCAGACCCAACTCTGTTGTTTCCAAAGTGGAGAACCTTTTACCCGTCAAAGTCAATTTCATCGCATCGCCGAAGCCAACAATACTCGACAGCCTTTGAATTTGACAATTTCATCGCATTGCTGAAGCCATCAATACTCGACAGCCTTTGAAGTGATCCTTGATCAGTCGCCAAAGCAAAATCCACTTCTTTTATCGAAAAAACGCATCCTCTGTACAAACCCTTATGTCATACGCTGTAATGACATTGATTCCACCACCGATGCAGTCTATGTGTATATTTGCAATCATAGACGGAGACTCTCCACGTATAATTTCCTGGCGGTAGAATTCAAAACCAAAAGATCGATGCTGGAGCAGGAGTGTTTTCCAGCGCCAGGAAAAATGATAACGTTGACATCAAGGTTGTGATCGAGTGTATAGAAAGCTTTTGGAATTTCGAAGAAGAAATCATGCGTGAGAGCATTGCAATGTGCGAGGCAATTAAGGTTAATTTAAAACACACCGAATTTAGGATTTTTCTCCATAATTTTTAGGGTTTTGTAATCATCTTTCATCGTCCTTAACAAAAAACTTCAAACGATTTTGAATTCACAAAAGCCTACTAAGATTTAAAAAGAGCATTAATAATAGGATGTTGATCCCCAAATCAATAATAGAAAGAAAAAAGTATAAATAAAGGTCCTACCGGGAGTCGAACCCAGGTCGCAGGATTCAAAGTCCTGAGTGCTAACCACTACACCATAGAACCATGTTATGTATTTGTATCTAAATTGTTTTATAATATTGGATATTGATTTCTAAATTATAAAGGTGAAAAAAACACAAGAAGATGGTTGAATCCTGTAGGCTTTTTCTTTCTTTTAGAACACTCTTATCATATTCTAAACACAAGATTTAGAATTTGATTCAAGATAAGTTATTTGTATTGGATAAAAATTATATCAGAGTTAGAAAGTGAGAGAAAGAGAGACACAAGCAGTTTATTCTGGTCCCTTGAAGTTTCAGGGAAACTCACTATAATAACTTATGATTACAAATGTTCAAACATACAAGCAAGATATTTTCAATGCTCAAACACACAAGTAAAAGATTTCTAATGCTCAAGCATATAAGCAAGAGACTTTAGATGCTCAAGCACACAAACAAGAGACTTGTTACAATCTAACTTAGAGGTGAGAGACTAGATGAGTATTACATTTGATATACAATTAGAGGTGTAAACAAAATACAACAAAGAAATAATGTTAAGACTTAAGAATTTCTAAGATATATAAATGTTAAGAAATTCTAAATTAAATTTGTGCTTTTGATTTGTTAGAGTAACAATTCTTTATTTGTCAATAGCTCGTTATTAGTTTCTTTAAGTCTTTAGCTCCTTATATATATATATATATATATATATATATATATATATATATATATATATATATATATATATATATATATATATATATATATATATATATATATATATATATATATATATATATATATATATATATATATATATATATATATATATATATATATATATATATATAGATAGATAGATAGATAGATAGAAAGATAGATAAATAGATAGATAAATAGATAGATAGATAGTATACTCTCTCTCTCTCTCTCTCTCTCTCTCTCTCTCTCTCTATATATATATATATATATATATATATATATATATATATATATATATATATATATATATATATATATATATATATATATATATATATATATATATATATATATATATATAGATAGATAGATAGATAGATAGATAGATAGATAGATAGATAGATAAATAAATAAATAGATAGTATACTATCTCTCTCTCTCTCTCTCTATATATATATATATATATATATATATAGATTGATAGATAGATAAATAGATAGATAGATAGGGAGAGAGAGAGAGATAGATAGATAGATAGATAGAGAGAGAGAGAGAGAGAGAGAGAGAGAGAGAGAGGTTGTTTAAGAAGACTTCATGCACAAGTGAGTCTTGGAAAAGCTTTGATCAGAGACGTTGGAATGTTATTCGATGTGGTTAATCCCTTGTAAAAGATTTGAAAATCCTTTGCTCCAAAGGGAATTATTCTTTTCATCCTTGTTGTCTGTGCAAATTTTTGTTTGGTTATGCACGTGATCAGAAGAAGACAAAATGATATTTGAGTCAGATAGTAATCTTTCAGAGTCTTTTTGATCTTTGAATTGACCAGCTTTAGAGTCTGAGTTTTCAGAGTCTAGATATTTAGAGGTTTACTTTCTTCAGAGTCTGGTGATCAGGTTCTGATCCTTTAGATTCAAGATCTTCAAACTTCTCTTTAATGTTCAATTTTAATGCCAGAGCAAAACTTATATCACAAATTTTAGGCTATGGTATTGCACACTTGAACATATATTAGTATACCCAAGTGTTATTTAAAAACTTTATTATCATCAAAACTTTAGGGATATGGTACAAATCAATTTTTTTCCAACATTCTCTTTATTTTTTATGATGACAAACACAAATATTCATGAACAATAATTGTTGATTTAATTAACTGGTTGACTCCAGGTTCTAAGGTTTGGAAGCCCCCTGACTCTGATATCCTAGGGGCGAGGTTTGTAAACTCCTCATAAGTTCTATTAAGATTAATTAAATTGAACTTTAAAGCACAATAACATAATCTTCTAAATTTAAGCAAATAATTAAACTGTCAGATTTAGAAGCTTAAATACTCGTTATCTTACACCCTTTTTTGTATCAACAAAAATATATAAGGAAATAAGAAAAGAGACTGAATATAAATATCATTAAAATCCAGGAAAATGATGTTCAAATGCAAACTATTTTTAAGATAGTAAAAAAATCAAAGAAGTTCTAAGTCATAAATTCTAGGATTTCTTCAGAAGCTCCAGGATGGCCTTGATGTCAAAACCCATGTCATCTTGTCTTGAACCAGTGTCTTCAGTTGAGCATCCATTTCTCCTTGAGTAACAACCACTAACTAAATTTGAGCGTAGATAACCTCTTGGTTAACAACAATAACAACGGCCATATTAGCCTTTAATTCATCTTGCTTATGATTGGAAGAGGCTACAGACTCAGTGGACAAGCTCTTCAGATTTTACAGAACTGTATCCACATAGGTTTTAAGATTATCCCATTTACTATCAGTTATTTTTCCATGACCCAGATGGGTTCATGATTGAGATATGCAATTGTGACAGTCTCCCTGTGATTCCACTAGCTGGTGAGGTGGCAAGATCATGCTCTCATTTGAATCTTCAACTAATGCAAAATCAGAGTCAACAACAACAACAGATACATAAAATTGTTAAGTGATATTATGAAATTTTACTTAGTTTTCTTTTGTTGTTGCTTTCTGGCTGTCAATTTATGATATTGTTTATTATTATTATTATTATTATTATTATTATTATTATTATTATTATTATTATTATTATTATTATTATTATTATTATTATTATTATTATTATTATTATTATTATTATTATTATTATTATTAGTAAATAATTGTCAAGTTGTTTGTACTCAAAACAAAATGGCATTTTTGGGTTGCTATGATTGTTGTTTGGTTTGATGTGATGGTCTCTTCTTTAATTAAAAGTGTATTTGTCTAAGGTTTGGTACATGGTGTTGTTTTGTTATTATCTTATTATTTATTTTTGTATGACATCAATATGGTCAATGTGGCATATAAGTTGATCTCTATCTCTAACATCAAACCATTTTGGTTCATCTTTTGTACAATATTTCTTTGAAAGTTCTTCACTTCATCTTGTTTGTCATCTCAATCAAAAACATAAAATGTTTTGAGTGTTCTTCTTC